ATACCACAAACTGACTAAAAATTGGGCACTTTGTGTTTTTTTTTTTTTATTTTTAATATATACATTACTTTGTAGGGCACAATTGTACAGGTTTTACTGCTTATTAAGGAAGATAATTAGAAAATCTGAATTTTTAGTATAGACCAGACATAGTCAACTAAGATTCCTCCAGAGGTTTCCAGGGGTTCCTTGAGTTGCAGATGTCTGACCTCCCCTCTTGTGCTGCCTGCATAGTCCCAGGGCTAACGCCACTTGACTACAATGATCTTTTTATCTGTTTGTAAGGGGGGCATTCTTCCCACTGACTCTCAGTGTAAGGGGCTTTTTCCCCAGCGATCCTCAATGAATTCTTTAAGCAGGGATTTCCTGAGACAAGCCAATGAGTTTTGTTATTATTTACAGTGACCATACATTTTAAAAGGAATATTGTCTCCTAGAAAATAAATATTATTTTTTATTACAGGTACTTGTATAGTGCCGTCAATTTACACAGCGCTTTACATATATATTGTACATTCACATCAGTCCCTAACCCTCAAGGGGTGTACAATCTAAGGTCCCTAACTCACATTCATAAAATACACATACTAGGGTCAATTAACCTACCAGCATGTCTTTGGAATGTCGGAGGAAACCGGAGTACCCGGAGGAAACCCACGCAGGCACAGGGAGAACATGCAAACTCCAGGCAGGTGGTGCCGTGGTTGGGATTCGAACCAACGACCCAAGTACTGCCAGGCGGAAGTGCTAACCATTTAGCCGCTGTGCTGTCCAATTGCTTTGATTTGTGTCCATTCACACACGGAGCCGTGGCTTGGCCCCACCCCCTCTCTCTCTCCTAACTGGCAGTGATTGATAGCAGCAGGAGCCAATGGTTCCTGCTTGCTGTCTCAGCCAATGAGGAGGCAGAGACCTGGGATAGCCGAGGCCGTCGTGCACATCACTGGATCTCAGGTAAATATTGGGGGGCTGGGGGCACTACTGCACACAGAAGGTTTATAGAATGCATGAAGGTACAAAACCTTGAGCCTTTACAACTGCTTTAATTCCCCCATTAAAATATATACTAGTTTTCAATACAACACTATAATGTTCATAATCACGAACTACAGTATCTATTACAAATCATATTAACTGCATGACGTTTTCATATGTATATGTCTGGCATTTAGTGTGTTTTATACCATCCTGCCACCTTGTCTTTCTAGACTTCACACTTGGCTATGTAAACTGCCAGCTACATCCTTCCATGTCAAAGCTCTGCCTTTATCCGGTTTTGTCTTTTACACGCCTGCTAGAACAGGTTTTCAAAGGAAAATAAACCAGGTCTAATACAGGATGGTTCAAGATGAGGATATGGCATGTCTCAGCACCTCTGCTCTGCTGCAAGTTATCAGCTTGAACAATGTATGGGATATATGATTTCGTAAGAAACACTCATTCATTGGATTACTTGCTCAGTTCCTCCCTGTCCCAAGCAGAGTTCCCTGCTTTGTATAGTCTTTTTTTATCTATCATTGAGGAGTTAACACTTCTTTAACATGTCTTTGTGTTCATCTAATCTCTGCTGTTTAACCTTTGACATCTCCCTTATTATCCATGTCTGCCACCTTTGCCAAATACCAAAAGCAGCTACATCACAGAAGACTTTAATCTCTGTCAGAGCACATTCTGCACCCAGCCTCCTGTCTTAATTCTTAAGTCACTAAACTATATTTGGTAACCGTGTACCTACATTTATGTGTTGGCTCATTTACATTCTACTCCATGCCTTTATAAATAATGTTCATGATTTCTTTTCTTTTTTGGATCTTATGCTTACCTGAAATATCTTCCATTAATGAAATTGTCTCAATAAAACCAGAAAGTAATGTGTAATTGCATTGGACGAGGTGGAGAGAAGGGGCTGAAGATGTTGCAATCTACCCTTGTAAAAAGAGAACGCTTTGTATTTGATAAAAAGCATCCAACACATTTTCTCAATAGAGGAGGTGCCCTTATGTTCAGTGTACCACATGGGAAGTCTCTCCAGCACTGCCGGAACAGGAAAGTGCTTCTTGTATGTGGCACAGATTACTGTTGTGATTTTGAGACTCCCTTGTAGCCCTCTGGATATGACAAATTAATAATTATAGGCTGGCCCAATGTAACTTCTAAAAAAGATCACTCCTGGAGTTCTGAAAATGAATACACAATTCCTTATCTGGCATGTGTTAAAGTGAACCCATTTATATTATGATGTCCCCATATTTTTGCTTGATTCAGTCTGCTGTTCCTGCCAGTTTTAAGCCTACTTAGACATTTCTGGAAGAGAGCTGAAAGTATTTCCTGGTCACTGCTGAAATTCCAGAAGAATTGTTACCCTCTCTCTTCAGCATGGGTATGCTATTGCCCAGGCAGTGTCAGCATTTAGAGAGTGCTGGGCTTTGTCTAGAACCATCCCCAGCCACTGTGGTACTGGATGTAAACAGAGCTATAGTGGTCATGTGGCCACCAGTAAGGCTTCATGTACACTGGCAGCTCCTAAACTTGAGTTTAGAACCTTGTGCCTTTTGTCAAAGCTTTTACACCCAACTCCATAAAAGCCTATGTGTCTATCCCTGTACAATTAAGCTTTTAGCAAAGTTTAGGTGAGGTTAAACCTCCCTTTTCCTGAATGCTGAAGAATTGCGTTCAGGATAGGAACGTTTTGAACGCCGGCCATGGAAAAGCGCAAAATGTGGCAACAATGCATGCAAACGCTGTTAGGATAGTGTACATGCAGCCTTCTACTGACAAAAAACAAGTGTTTGTAAAACTCTTCCATTGGCAGCATTGCTTGGATGCCAGTGTGCTGCTCGGCATTTGCTACAGAAACATCATTTTTGTATTTACTTATACCTTAGACTTCCTTTTGTCGGTTAATGTGCTTTTTACAAAACATGGGAATACCTCCTTGGATGTAGTACACACTCGGTGTAATGCTGGTTTCGGGTTTTTTCCTGTATCTATTGCACTAGCTCAGGGGTCCTCAAACTACGACCCATGGGCCACATGCGGCCCGCCAAGGCCATTTTATCCGGCCAACCGGCAGGGGCGTATTTTCCGCAAGGAAGGGACACTAAGTACAGGGGTGGGCAGGGGGCTGCTGTACCTTACCTTGCTCCGGTCCCAGTCCCACGACGATCCAGTCCAGGAAGCGCTGCTCCTTCATTCACTCCAGCCACTCCCCCACTGACTTCAACGATGGGGCACTATTCCTCCCCCCCACTGACTTCAACGATGGGGCACTATTCCTCCCCCCCACTGACTTCAACGATGGGGCACTATTCCTCCCCCCCACTGACTTCAACGATGGGGCACTATTCCTCCCCCCCCACTGACACCAACGATGGGGCACTATTCCACCCCCCACTGACAATGTTGGGACACTATCTCCCCCCCCCACGGACACCAATGACGGGACACTATCTCCCCCCCCACGGACACCAATGACGGGGCACTATTCCCCCCCACTGACACCAATGATGTACTATTCCTCCCACTGACACCAATGATGGGACACTATTCTTCCCACTGACACCAATGTTGGGACACTATCCCCTTCCCCCACTGACACCAATGATGGGGCACTATTCCTCCCCCCACTGACACTAATGATGGGGCACTATTCCTCCCCCACTGACACTAACGATGGGGCACTATTCCTCCCCCAATGACACTAATGATGGGGCACTATTCCTCCCCCCACTGACACTAATGATGGGGCACTATTCCTACCCCCAGTGACACCAATGATGTGGCACTATTCCTCCCCCCACTGACACCAATGATGTGGCACTATTCCTCCCAGTGACACCAATGATGGGGCACGTTTCTTCCCACTGACACCAATGATGGGGCACTATTTCCCCCCCCCCCCCCACACTGACACCAACGATGGGGCACTTTCCTCCCCCTACTGACACCAACAATGGGGCACTATTCCTCCCCCCACTGACACCAACAATGGGGCACTATTCCTCCCCCCACTGACACCAATGATGGGGCACTATTCCTCCCCCCCCACTGACACCAATGATGGGGCACTATTCCTCCCCCCACTGACACCAATGATGGGGCACTATTCCTCCCCCCACTGACACCAATGATGGGGCACTATTCCTCCCCCCACTGACACCAATGATGGGGCACTATTCCTCCCCCCACTGACACCAATGATGGGGCACTATTCCTCCCACTGACACCAATGATGGGGCACGATTCTTCCCACTGACACCAATGATGGGGCACTATTCCCCCCACTGAAACTAATGATGAAAATAACTGGTCACCTTTAATGGCTCTTTTAGAATGCAAGCAGTTGTATGTTCTATTCTATATGCATACGTTAGCTGTGTTCATGGTACATTAATTCACCTGGTGTACTGTACACATTTTATCTGTCTTTTCCCTCATCCTATGTCATCCTATATCCCATTCTGTCATCCTTGCCTGAAAAGAGGAACGATACAATAAAAGCCATTTCTCATGCATGATATTTTTTTCTTCAACAGATGAAGATTCAGAAAATCTAATAAGAAATTGTCTAAATTTGTTGAATGTAATTGTAAGCAGCAGCTTATAGTGAATAAACTCCAAGGTAGAGCAGGCTGCAGCCTATTTAAGAACTACAAGTCCCAGTACTAGATTTTGCTGATCAGTCCTCTGTCTGTGTTCTGCTCCCCACTGTGCTGTTCTCTGTGTAATGCTGTGTCAGTGAGTACAAATTCCTGCCACACGACCACTCTCCCCCTTCTTCTCTGTTTGAGAAATCACAGACTTCTTCTCTGTCTAAAATATCTGCCTCCACGTCTGATACCACAAATGTGAGGGAGCAGCCAGGCAGCTATACAGATTGCTGTTTAGTCTTGTAATAAAGCTGTGGGTGTTACACGTATCTGCTGCTAATTACTAAGCCACCTATTCACCTCTGTCAGTATTCTTGCTGAATCTCTCCTACTTCTGTATTTCTGTTGCAGGTATTATAAAAAGTTCACCATTCCAGACCTGGATCGATGTCACTTGGAACTGAATGAGAGCGCTCTAAGTTTTGCCCATGCAAACAACACTCTAATTATAACAGTAAGTTTGGATTATGGTAACCAGATACTGTATCTATACGCACACGCACATGTTATCAGATGTTCAAACCGGGTCAAAACCACAATTCTGGAATTTGCCAGTAGGATCGAAGTGCTTGGGTGAATTAATAGGGGTTGGTAGAAAAAAGCAAAGGCAGTTTAGACACAATTGACCATGAATTTTTAAATTAGAAAATGTGTTTTGAAACTATACAGATTCTACACATAGCAGGTTTCTAGGACAGTATATAAAAATATACTATTAAAAAAAGACTTAAAGTGGAATTCCAGACTCTACAGTCAAATCTGCTCGCACCCCTCCAACTCCTATTCTATTCCACCTACCCTGTAGAAGGAAGATACCCAGGGGTGGACTGACGACTCATGAGGCCCCCGGGCAATAGGGGATCATGGAGCCCGTGTCCTTGCCCAAACTCAAAATAGCCTATGAAAAAGGTACCAGGAGCATCTCGTGGGGCCCCCTACTGACCCTGGGCTCTCGGGCAGTGCCCGGGTTTCCAAATGGTCAGTCCGCCCCTGAAGATAGCTATACTTGCCCATTCTCAGGGAACTTCGGCCCGGTCACTTGATCTCCTAGCAGCCAGCTTTAGAGGAGAGGAGAGATCCCTGACAAAGGTTGAAATGTCTGGGTGTTGATGTCACCCATAGGCTTACTATGGGACATTCGTTGTCAGCTGTCCCTCTTCTTCCCTGCAGCTGTCTTGTGATCATGTGACCAGACTGGAGCGCCCTGAGAATAGGTAAGTATATACATCTTCCTTCTACAAGGTAGTTATAATAGGAGTTTTAAGGGGGTGGAAGCAGCTTTAGAATTGGTTAGTTGTAGACTGAAATTCCGCTTTAAGTATTTTTAATAAGTTTTTTTTTTTTAATATATATATATACTAGCCCAAAAAAGGTAAATCTGTCATGAAGAGAATACAGGGCTATCAGTGCTGGCCTCCTTCTGCAAATTCTCATTCATTGGCTGTTAAGCCTCATTAACATGGGTGTACTACAACATACAACATACCTGTGCAAGGGCTTTGTTTGTCCACACAGGGATACACTGGAAGTGGCAGTCACTTTAATATTTTTCTGAGTCCCTCACTGAGGCATTTTCAAAGGAGAGCTAAACAATGGCAGTCTCCATCCTCAACAAGTTCCTTTAAATAGAGTTTGTCGATATTCACATCCAAGCTGGTATTTTTGTATGTGAAATGGCTAATTGTTAGTCCCACCACATGGTACATGGGGAAATTCACACTTTTTGCTTTGTGGTAATATATTATCATACTTGCATTGCTGTACAATTTAGTGCATTGCCTATCACTCTGAATGGCACCCCATAGCATGTATAATGAAAACATAACACCACAACGCACAGATGGAAATGCTGGTTGTGTGCTGTGGTTTCAAATATAGCACTGGTGCATTTTTCTGTGTGTTGAGAGTTCATTTAAAGTGAGTGGTTGGATTAATGCAATGCATCTGTACGTACAAAAGCACGCAAACGTATGATTGATCTCTAACTGCTTTGATTATAAGTGTGCAGTTTAGAGCAGGGCAACCTTGGCACTTCAGTTGTGGTGAAAATACAAATCCCACCATGCTTCTGGGAGTCATTATTGTGGCTGCTAGTCTTGCATGTGACTTGTAGTTCCACAGCAGCTAGAGTACCAAGGTTGCCTACCCCTGTCTTACAGAGATGTGCAGCTGCTCAACAACGGCATGTTGCAGAGACTAGGACTTTCCAGATAATGGTTATAGCTGGAATTCATAGTGCTGCATGTAAAACATTTTAAAATGCACTCATAAAGTGACCCATTTGGAAATGCACAAGATCGCCTTCTGATCATGTCGGTTTGTATGACAGCATTTAACTATATGAGCAACTTTTTGGATTAGGGACTTAATGCCTGAGCATGTTATGCGTTTTGGATAACATTTAGTAACTGTTGTCTCATCATATAGTATCAGAAACCAAAGGAAATCCTGGCAGTGGAAGAAGAGCTGCAGAAGGAGCTCAACTCATTGAAGACCAATTCGGAGGGTGATGTGGAGTGTAAGACTCAATGACCTGAAAATGAGCTGAATTCTAATTTATGTCTATAGTTTTTTTTTTCTACAAAAAAAAAAAAAAAATAAATACTTATGTACTTAGTATAATGATTATGTGCCTATTTTTGTGTTAAAAATATTTTTATTGATTGTGAAATAAGTTTAAACAGTTTACCAATATAAACAATGGAATAGTCATTCATTACTAAGAACTTCATATTAATCTCACTATATTATTTACACTGAAAAATAGAAAAACATTATACCAACTATTTTTAATAACTTACACATCATATAAATATTTACTGCAGTACACATTCTACAGTATAAAAAAAACATTTCATCCCTAAGTAAATAAAAAATGTGTGTGTAACTTGCGAGCCACTAAAATATTCCTCTGGATCGCTAACATTTATCACATACTTAAACTGTGTATAAAAGACCATATAACTAAAAAATGTTGCGCTCCCAATCTCTAACAAACTTATAAATTAGTGACTTCAAATTATATATCCATGAAAAACAAACCATATACCATACATAAATAAATGAATATCAAGTTAAATGTGATGTGAATCGAATAAAATAAACAGTCCCATTATTCAAATAATAGTCCAAAAAAGGATTTGTGATGACGTCATCCAAAACACACCAATTGTGACTTTTCGTGAATCCTTAAATCATTAAAGATGTGCGCTCACCTCCTTACAAGCCTAACAGGCTTAATACACTTTTTGTTCACATACATGAACCTGCTAGAATTTGCTGCAGCATGGAATGGATGTTGGATACCTCCTATGTACTCCACAATGCTTCTCTCCTTATACACTCGTTATCCCTGAAGGGATCTCTCCCTCCTTCAGCTGCTCAGGATCCCCTACTCACTCCTCATTAGATGTGCCTTTATTTAAATGCTAAATGCTCAATATATGCATTCACATTGAATACTGAAATGTGTCCCCCCACCCCCCCACACAAATTGCTTTCTTTTGGTGGTATTTGATCGCCTGTGCGGTTTTTTTTGTTTTTGTTTTTTTTTGTTTTTTTGCACTATAAACAAACAAGACTGACAATTGAGGAAAAAAACAATATTTTTGACTTTTTTGCTATTAAACATGTCCAGTAAAAATTTTGTCAGAAATTTAGACCAAAATGTATTCTGCTACGTCTTTGCTAAAAAAAAATCCCAATATGTGTAAATTATATATACAGTTGTGTTCAAAATAATAGCAGTGTGTTTGAAAAAAGTGAATAAAGCTCAAAATCCTTCTAATAGCTTTTATTTCCATACACACAAATGCATTGGGAACACTACACATTCTATTCCAAATCAAAAACATGAAGAAAAATAGATCAAATTTGTGTTGTTCCTCTAAAAAAATTGACGAAAAGTGAATATTAGACTGTTCAAAAAAATAGCAGTGTTTGTATTCTTCTTTACAAACTCAAACATTCACTATATAAACTGAAAAATGTTTGAAGATTTTGCTTTCCTTTGAATCACTTAACCGTTTCAATACCGGGCAATTTTACACCTTCCTGCCCAGGCCATTTTTCAGGTTTCAGCGCTCTCACACTTTGAATGACAATTGCGCGGTCATACAACATTGTACCCAAACTAAAATTTTATCATTTTCTTCACACAACTAGAGCTTTCTTTTGGTGGTATTTAATCACCGCTGGGGTTTTATTTTTTGCTAAATTAACAAAAAGACCAAAAATTTTGAAAAAAAAAACACATTTTTCTTTGTTTCTATTCTAAAAGTTTACAAATAAATAATTGTTCTTCATAAATTTAGGCCGAGATGTATTCTGCTACATGTCTTTGGTGAAAATAACCCAAATTAGGATGTATTTTTTAGTTTGTAGGAAAGTTATAGAGTTCACAAACTATGGTATAGATCTGAATATTGATCAATCCTGAAGTACTGACAGCCAATCTAATTTCTTGAAGTCCAAGAATGTCAGAATAGTACAGATATCCCACAAATGACCCCTTTTTGCAGAGTAGACAGTCCGACGTACTTCATAAGAGGCATGGCGAGTTTTTTGAAGTTGTATTTTTATGTCACAATTTTTCGGAAAATTAAAAAAATTATTTTCACTTTTTTTTTTTTTTTTACATAATGTCACCAGTGCAGTACAGCGTCATCATATAACTGGCATGGCGGTTAACAGGGACACTGACTGGTGACAGTATGGAAAAAAAAAATATATATATATATTTTTTTTTTAATTTTTTTTTTTTTTTTATTATTATATTTAATTTTTTATTTCTTTTATTTTTTTTTTAAGATTTTTTTTCATATTTTACTATGACCAAAGTAGTACAATGTTACCATAGTAACACTGTGCTACTTTGGGGAAGTGATCAGTATTATTATTATTTTTTTTTTTTTTACACAATTTGCTTATAGCAAAGAATTACTTTGCTATAAGCAAGCATTTACCTGAATGAAATCGATTCATTCAGTTTTTTTTTTTTTTTTTTTTTTTTGTGCTTAGCTGTGATTTGGTCATGTGATTAGCTGTGACCATTCACAGCTAGGCACTAGTATACAATGGATGGCATCATGAATGAAGCCATCCATTGTATACAACTGTCATGTGACCTGCTGTGATTGGTCACAGCAGGTCACATGGTACCAGCAACGGGAGCTGGTACTCGGATCTGTCATCGGCTGTGTCCGAGGTGCACGGCCCGTGACAGATCCCGCTGCTGCGCCGCTCTGCATTACCGCAAACGGCGCATGTGCGGAAGCACGCCAAAGGGCGTGCACCTGGAATGAAGAGGCACATCTGAAGCCGCCAAACGGCCATTGGCCGGGCGGCTAATGGTTAATGAATATTTATTATATATTTGTATAAGCACTGTTTCTGAGAACTGCTGTACATCTGTGTTGCATGGAGTCAACCAACTTCTGGCACCTGTGAACAGGTATTCCAGCCCAGGATGATTGGACTACATTCCACAGTTCTTCTCTATTTCTTGGTTTTGCCTCAGAAACTGCATTTTTGATGTCACCCCACAAGTTTTCTATTGGATTAAGATCCGGGGATTGGGCTGGCCACTCCATAACGTCAATCTTGTTGGTCTGGAACCAAGATGTTGCACGTTTACTGGTGTGTTTGGGGTCGTTGTCTTGTTGGAACACCCATTTCAAGGGCATTTTCTCTTCAGCATAAGGCAGCATGACCTCTTCAAGTATTCTGATGTATTCAAACTGATCCATGATCCCTGGTATGCGATAAATAGGCCTAACACCATACTATGAGAAACATCCCCATATCATGATGCTTGCACCACCATGCTTCACTGTCTTCACAGTGTACTGTGGCTTGAATTCAGTGTTTGGAGGTCGTCTGACAAACTGTCTCCGGCCACTAGACCCAAAAAGAACAATCTTACTTTCATCAGTCCACAAAATGTTGCGCCATTTCTCTTTAGGCCAGTCAATGTGCTCTTTGGCGAATTGTAACCTCTTCAGCACGTCTTTTTTTTCAACAGTGGGACTTTGCGGGGGCTTCTTGCAGATAGCTTGGCTTCACATAGGCATCTTCTAATTGTAACAGTACTCACAGGTAACTTTAGACCTTCTTTGATCTTCCTGGAGCTGATTGTTGGCTGAGTCCTTGCCATTTTGGCTATTCTTCTATCCATTCGAATGGTAGTTTTTCGCTTTCTTCTACGTCTTTCAGGTTTTGGTTGCCATTTTAAAGCATTTGTGATCATTTTAGCTGAGCAGTCTATCATTTTCTGCACTTCTTTATATGTTTTCCCCTCTCCAATCAACTTTTTAATCAAGGTACGCTGTTCTTCTGAACATTGTCTGGAACGACCCATTTTCCTCAGAATTTCAGAGAGAAATGCACTGTAACCAGCATGTACAACATTTGCTTCCTTCCTTCTTTGAAACACAGGTGGCAATTATTGCCCTTATTTAAAGAATGAATGCCCTCACTAATAGAACTCCACACTGCTATTATATTGAACATGCCCCTTTCAATTAGTGATTCAATTACACAGAATCAGCAGCATGCATGTCATGACTGTTGGGTCTGTTGGATTTCTATTACTCTACTACACCTGCTAGTAAATTATTTGCCATGTAGAAATATCATTTCTACCAAAAACAGTGATTGATCAGGTTAGTGATGTCTGACTGCCATTATTTTGAACACAACTTTATGTGTAAATAAATATAAAGTTATAGCGTCTACAAATGGCGGTATATATACTGGAATATTTTTTTTTTTTTTTTACTAGTATTGGCGGTGATTAGCGACTTATAGTGGGACTGCAGCGGACATTCTGACACTGGGGGGTAACTGACTTGCTGCCACTGACATCCACAGTGACACCAATACAGTGATCATTGCTAATAAAAAGCACTGACATTGTACTAATGGCACGGGGCAGGAAGGGGTTAACGTGGGGCAATCAAAGGGTTAACTGTGTGCTGTTTCACTATGTTGGCTGTGTGTGTGCTTCACTGTAAACACTTTGCTTTGTATGGCTCTGCTATGCAGGAGCTGACAGAGGAGAGATCTATGTTTGTTTATGCACAGGTCTCTCCTCAGTCCAAGATATTCGGCGTTCACTGGCCGGTACCCAGTGATTGACAGTCGAGGCCGCGAAAGGTGGCGCGGGTAGGGCGCGCATACTCTCCCCTACTCGGAACTGTAAAATCACGTGTGTGTGTGCGCGCGTGCGTGTGTGATATTGCGCACCCCATGCTACCCTGTAGCAGTATTTCTGCTATAAGTCAGCACAGAACCAGTTCATCAAAGTGGCATTGTGGAGTACACAGAGAAAGTTCTGACAGCTGGAGCTGTCAAACTAAAGCAGTCTGTCAATGTTTATCAACAACATTGCCCAACCATGAATACAGAAACATACAAAAAACATTGTTTCATTTTGTATCATTCTGTTTATCCATCTACAGATCAAAGGGATGAACTACCATCTGCAGATGAAGTCAGTTAAAGCAACCTGACAAGTACAAAAAAAGTTGTTT